AGAAGAAGACGAAGGAGGAGGGAATCAAGCAAATCAAAATGGCGGCGCCCGTCACATTCAGAAAGTTATGCTTGATTATTATTGCTGTACTTCCGTGTTTGCGGTGGGTCAGGCGAAGACGGCAACCTTGCGCGGATGTACTTGAATGGAGTGTGAATCAGCATGTTCAGCCAGTCGGCGATGACGCGTTCTGCTCATGCGCTCTTGTTATCAGAGAACCGAGCCAGGAAAAAACCGAGCCGAACCCACCTCGGGAACTGGTCTGCAGTTAGCGCGGTCCGGTTATGTTTATCTCGGTTCAGTTCAGGTTGTTTCCGTTCACACACGACAAGTTATCTCAGTTACTGAGCTCGGACCGGTCTCGGCTCAGTTTTTTAAGGGTAGTGTAAACGGGGTAGAAGTGGTGGACCGTCTGTCCTGACAGGCAAAGAATTGTGGGCAACCATGTAGCTTCTAATGGCAGCTAAGGTCCCTCTGCTTACTGCATTAGTGCTAGCTTAGGAAGCATCCTTCCTCCTCAATGCTCCTTCCTAATTGCCAGCACTATTCAAGCAGCACTTATTATGGTGGCTTCTGCTGTGGCTTAAGAGTCCTTTTTGTTTTGAAGTCTTCGGATTAAGGCAGACAGTTTAGGTCACTTTACATTTAAAGGAGGTATCCCACAGAAATCTGACTTTTACTCCACCTGGAGTGTGAAAGTGTCTTTTTGTTTTATTTTATATACAAAACAAAAAGGGCCCAATACTGGGCGGGGCCCCAATACAGCACTAAAATGGTGGTATCGGTATCAGTGAGTACCAACAAATAGGGCGACGATACCATTTTAAGAGCCAAAAGTTTATGCAACTATTGTCACCCATTCCAGGTAGGCAATAAAAAGTTTTACTGGATTCACTTTGTATTAGTCTTTTTCCTGCTTCACAAAGGTAGGCAGCAGCTTGACAAAGCTATGATGGCAATTATTTTACAACCAAGTAGTATGCAGTTCTTTATATATACACACACACATCAATTTCAAGTAGATGGTATCAGTATGGGCCGATAGTGCCCAGTCAGGTATCGGGTATCGTGTCGGGGCCCATAAATGGCATCAGCGCAACACTGGTTTTATTTGTGGGCTCTAGTTCAAACCCACAACAGTGTGCTCTACACAAAGCACAATTTTGGTTTTCCTCCAGGAATAATGTAATTTCTAAAGGGTGCTAACATTAGCCCACCCTGCTGTCACCGCTCCCATCTCTATTCCACCAAAAGAAGAGAAATAATGCTAAACAACCATGGGTAACTGCTAATGCCGCACCCAAATGAGCACAGTATACAGACTATGCAAATTCTCTTGCAATAACCAAGCAAGGAAAATAAAGGCGTATGAAAGAGGGTCTGAATGAGCTTTATTTGTTCTCTAAAAAAGTATTAAACATCAATGTAAAGACAATTTCACAAAGTTTATTTAAGTAAGTCATAAGTCATTTCACAAGAGAGACTTTCTGAATCCAGCCTCTCATGGTAAAAGTACTAAGCAATAAAATTCAAACAGGTACATCGGGGGGCGAAAATGTACTCTGAGACAGAATTCCAGAATCCTGAATTGCACAAAGAAATTGAAAGGAGGACATAAGTTAATAGCTTTAACATTAGTAGAACAAATAATCTCTTAGTGTTTTGCCTGACAACATTTTCAAAACTGGAAAAGAGAGGTTGTGTTTATTATGACTGTATTTGTGGATATGCCTTTTGGATAAAAAAACTATTATATGAATAATATTGTTTAATCTTTACAGAATAAAAAGCTAAACCATATATGTTCAAATCAAAGAGAAAATGTGGTTTGAATACAAGAATTAATTTAAAGTGGGTTAACTGCAGCAGAAGGGAAGAGAATTGCAGCTTATGCGCATATCCTTGCATACAAGCTTGAAGATAACACTTTTCAGTTCAACAAAACAGCTTTCAAGGATCTGGCCCCAGATACTTATGGCAGTGGTGTCTGGGATGAAGGTGTCATACCAACATTTGGCAGGGAGCAAGAATTTAACCCACATCTACATAATAAGCATTTGGAAAAACAGCAACTGCACTATCCACCAAGATGAGTGGGGGGAAGAAAAAGATCCTTCGTACATAATTGCTAATAAAACACTTTCATACACAAACTGTGTATGGGGGAGTGTTGGCCTAGTGGTTAGAACATTGTGCTTGTGCTCCGAGAAGGTTGCAAATACCCGGTTCGATCCCCACAGCCTCAACTCTGGGTTCCTGAGCAAGACCCTTAAACACACGCTGCTCCCTGGGCAGTGCACATGGGTGGGTTAAATGCAATTCAAAATGTCAGGACTAGCGTTGAGTTCAAGGTTTTATAGAGTGGAAAAAGCTTCCTGGATGGGAAGCAAAACATCTTTAAACTTGGAAACAAAGTCCAGTTGATTGTTTGTAATTTTCTTTTCAGGAATGACTACGACCTGGATGACAGAGAATCTTCACCAGCATATTAAACTCCATTTTGTTAAATGCAGAGGTAAATTTCTTCAATGTGAGATCGATAAAGTTCAATTATTATTATTATTTAACTGGTGTACAGTAATAATAATTGTAGTTACTATTAGTATTATTTATTCAAATCGGTAGTTTTTAAGATTAATAATTGTTTCTGATGCTCAAAGGCAACAAACCTCATATCGTTTTGCTCACACCGCCACAGCACTAGGCCAGGTGGTCTGAGATGTGAACATTAAAAAAATTATTTTAGGAAAGGGCATTAAATGTTTAAATATTTTCTTACATCTATTTTATAAGTAGATATAGGTAAAGTACCACAACTTGTACAAAAGTAAGGTCAACATATTTTTACTGACTAAAATAAGAGTAAAAAGATATTTGATAAAGAGAAGCTACTGAAGTGCTGAGGTGATTATCATAACATATGATTAATGTTTACAACAAATGTCATAGAAGGGAGAAAAATCAATAGTTATTTGCATATTATGGTATTTTTAAAATGAGAGTAAGTTCAGGTGTAGGAAACCCTTTTCAAATAGTTTATCTCTCCCATCATCAAATGAATGAAATGAAACCAATGCTTGGAGCAGTTAAATACCTGCAAAAGTATTTGGTCCTCTAGTTATAAATGTATAGTACAACAGAGTACTAGGGCCAGGCTAGAGAGTTTTTTAGGGATGCACGATATTGGGATTTTGGCCGATATCCGATATGCCAATATTTTAAAACTCATGTAGCCGATAACCGATATCGATACCGATGTTAAAGCTGGACAAAAATACGTAGTCATTGAAAAAAGCAGTTTTGTTATCCATTTCTGGCACTTTGAAAAATAATAAACTCAAATATATTTTCATATGCTGATATCAAATAGATTTTTAAAAACGCGGTATCGATCTATTTTACTTTCAAAATCTTGTGAAATTTCATCGTTCTGTTACAAACTCTCGTGATATTTTGAAAATTCTTGTGAGATTTTGTTAGTAAAATAGATTGATACCGCGTCAATATATCAACATATAAAAATATGGCAACATTTCATGAATTTTCGGGGGATTTCGTAGCATAACGATGACATATAGCAATATTTCATTAGTAAAAGAGATTGATATGGTGTTTTTAAATGGCAATATATCAGCATATGAAGATATTGGGATATTTTAATGTATCAATATTTTTTCCCTCTTTAGAAGTTTTTAAGTCTGTAAAAAAATAAGTTTTTGAGGAAGAAGATGAAGTAGTATTTTTTTATATATTTTTTTAGACTTTAGAAACTCAGAAGCTGATCAAATATCGGGTTAAATATCGGTGTGGTGGCCGATGTCCGATATTCAGTTTTAAGGCCGATACAGGCCGATACCGATAGGGGGCCGATTATATCGTGCATCCCTAGATTTTTTTATTTTAAGAATAAAGTCGTAACATTACGAGAATAAAGTCGTAACATTACGAGAATAGAGTCGTAACATTACGGGAATAGAGTCGTAACATTACAAGAATAAAGTTGTAACATTACGAGGAATAGAGTCGTAACATTATGGGAATAGAGTCGTAACATTACCGGAATAGAGTCGTAACATTACGAGAATAGAGTCGTAACATTACGGGAATAGAGTCGTAACATTACGAGAATAGAGTCGTAACATTACGAGAATAGAGTCGTAACATTACGAGAATAGAGTCGTAACATTACGGGAATAGAGTCGTAACATTACGAGAATAGAGTCGTAACATTACGAGAATAGAGTCGTAACATTACGAGAATAAAGCCGTAACATTACGAGAATAGAGTCGTAACATTACGGGAATAGAGTCGTAACATTACGAGAACAAAGTCATCATACCACAACCTGCTTCGAGCTTCGACCACCAGATGACGGCTGACCAGCTCCACCAATCAGCAACCTGAGTCCACTTTGACCTGCTGCTCATTTTGATGCTGCTGCTAAAAGATTTCCTTATTGGTCAAACCAGAACCAAAGTATAACTTCACATGATGCTCCACATTCCTCATTTTAGGGAAGAAAGTGCCTCTTGTAAGAGTTGTTATAAAATACAACTTTATTCTCATAAGGTTACGACTTTATTCTCGTAATTTTATGACTATTCTCGTTGTGACTTTTTTCTCGTGATTTTACAACTTTATTCTCATAATTTTACGACTTAATTCTTGAAATAGAAGAAAAAAAATCTCTAGCCTGGCGCTAACACTCAGTCGTATTAAAGGATACTGTATACTTCACTTCTAAGGTTTGATTTGTAAAAAGAAGAAAAAAAAAATCAGCCATTTAAATCAGCCAATCCTGCTCACATACACTGAGGTTTTGTGGTTGTATAAAATTAAAGTAGCCGTCAAAATGAACACTAGAGCACAATGAGAATTAAAGATGCTTTCCTTAAGACTGCTGCAGATCTGACTGAGCGGAGCGTAAGCAAAACATGGAAAATTACACTTTTTGAGTGTATTGTGTTTGGTAAATGAGCCGACCACTTGGTTCCATTAGAGACACATTAAGTAGAGCATGGCGAATGAGAAGCCTCCGTGTGGTCAATCGATACAGCTCTGTGTCCGCTGTAAGATTGGGCGAGGTCCACAGCACACTCCTACCAAGTCCTCAGTCGCATCAAGATCCTGACTGGAAACAGCAGCTGCTGCAGATGGAGGTAAGATGAACTAATATCTTAAATAAATGCAGATTACTAAAAAAGGAGAAAAAAAACAAGGGTTCTGTGTAGGAGATAAGGATGGTTTGGTTTTAAATTGTTTGTTTCAGGCCTCTAAGGATGCTGCTTCAGAGTTGGAGAGTGGTATGGCCACTATCATTAAAGTTTTCCATAAATACTCCGGTCAAAACTGCACGCTGAGGAAGGCAGACCTGAAAGCTCTCATCAACAACGAGATGAGTCACTTCATAAAGGTGGGAAATCTATTCCAAACACGTTTTCTGATTAACAGAAGAAATTCATTTATGATTGGAAACATAAATAAAGAAAAAGCTTTGAATAGAAAAAAATCTCCCATGCAGTTTATTTTTTTCTTTCCAACTTGTCGGATTTATTTCTTCTTATAAAATCGTTTTATTCCTGAACAGAAAATTAAGGACAACGCCATTCTGGACAAGCTGTTCTACGACCTGGACCAGAACGGGGACCTGGAGATCGACTTCAAAGAGTTCATCGCTCTCATCGCCATGGTTACCTCAGCATGCCATGAAGTCTTCATTCCAAGCCCTAAACAATAAATCAGCATGATTACATTAAATACTCAATAAACAACTGCGAAAAACTGGAAGTTTGGCTTCATCTTTGGAGGTTTTGGTCGACTTATCGAGCAGCTCGTCATCTGATCGGTAAATATGTTATAGAGAACTGGAGCCTCACTTCAGGGCTGAGTAGTTTGTTAGGAAATAAAAAGCCTAGGGTTTAGATGATGCTGCTCAGAAACCATTATCCAGCTGCAGCCCAGTTTCTGCAGAACAGAGAAGGAATTTTAAAACCTAATATCTGAGGATGAGGTTTTCTCCCTCGCTGATATGAGCCCAGTAGTTTCCACCAACATAACAAACAGCTCTGACTCCAACCAAGCAGCTCCCTCCTGTGGATAATAGGCACTTCGCCGCAGAGCAGAAAACTAACTTGTAAGTTATGTTCGTTGTTTCTTTTTATGCAAATTGAACCCCAGCTTCAATTTACAGAATCGGCTTCTCAAACTCTCCAGGTTCAGCCTCTCTCCAGACGTTCAGCTCCTCAGATTTTCTTCAAAATAATCCAGAATTTTGTTCCAGGCATCTTCCTGGGCGGCAGCGTGGGGCGCAGGGTGGCCGCCCCACAATGTGATCACTGCACAACAAACACCAAACCTCATGTTTTTATGGGAATGAAGGCTAAGAGCAGAAACAGGGTTTGCTGCAGAAAAAACTCACGTTTCTTGGGTTTGACGGACCACATGGAGGACCTCACGCTCGGGGAATAGGGCGGCTCGATCAGGTGGCCCGCGCCAGGGTAGGACAGGCGGGTGAACAGGTGGGATTTACCAGCAGACCTTAGCCTCTCCTCAATCTGATGATCCAGAAAACAAGAATTAAAAGCTGGAAAATACATATAACAGATTGTAGCTGTTCACATGGATCATATAGGAAATAAAAAAAAAAGAACCAGTCCTGTCTAATGTAAATAAATATCCAAGAATGACTTAAGTGGTGAAAACCAAACCTCACACCAAACTCATAAAACTGTGATGGAAGCTAAACCAGAAGAGAAGAAAACAAACAAAAAACAACAAACAACATAATGACTTAGGCTCTTAATGGACAATTTATGAAAACTGAAATGGGTTTCCAGGAAGTAGTGTTAATAGCTTCTAATGAGGAGCCAAGGAAATCTGTGCATAAACGGTGCAAAAAAGTGCACTTTTTAGCCATGTCCCCTGGTAATTTTATGCTAAATTTACATGTGGATTGTTCATTTTGATCAAGCCTGCACAATTTTATGTAAAAGTAACAAAAATGAAATTTCTGGTAGAGAAGTAATGACACTTTCCTATTTTTATTCCATTTGAAACATGAAAAGAGGTTCCTGCAGTTCTACCAGATCAGAGCATCCAGACTCTTTTGAGTCTTTTGAATGAGTTTTATCCTGTTTAAACCTCTAATATTTACATTAGTGTGATCTTAGCATGAAGATCAGGTTGAGATCTGAAGAAAGGCGGCAGCTCTTATTGGTCTGTTCAGTGTTCAAATCTCCTAAAATGTAAATAATGGTACTGCATCTACAATTTGTACCACAATAAAATTGGCTCAGTTTAAACCTGGACTAGATTATTTCACACTCCATTTATCAAACTTTCACAAATTGGATAAATATTCCAAAAATCCCAACCTGTGTTTTAAATATTCTACAAGTAGTATATAAACTAATGTTTGAACTTTCTATGTTCTATAGTTTTTAAGCACAACCAGTTATGAAAGGATACAGATGCAAAAAAAAATAAAACAACCTTTTTGAGCCTTTATTAAACTTTCACAAACCAGATAAAGGTTTCAGATGCTGCTGCAAGTGTAGAATCATATAGTCCATCTTTGATCTCTCCAAGTACCACAGTTTTTAAGCAGGACCTGTTCTAACTTGGTCTTTATTAAAGACCCCTTATTAAACTCTCACATACATGAATAGAGGTTTCACAAGATTCTGCTTTTAGTGTAGAATAATCTAGTCTGGGGGGTTGTGTGGGGGGTACTCCGGGAGTATGGAGTACCGGGCCCTTTAATAAGGGCTGTTAGGTCTCTGTATGACCGGTGTCAAAGCTCAGTCTGCATTGCCGGCAGTAAGTCAGACTCGTTTCCTGTGAGAGTTGGACTCCACCAAGGTTGCCCTTTGTCACCGATTCTGTTCGTAACTTTTATGGACAGAATTTCTAGGCGCAGCCAAGGTGTTGAGGGGATCTGTTTCGGTGGCCTTAGGATTGCATCTCTGTTATTCCCAGATGGCGTGGTTCTATTGGCTTCATCAGGGCGTGATCTACAGCTCTCACTGCGGTTCACAGCCGAGTGGGAAGCGACCGGGATGAGGATCATTGCCTCCAAATCCGAGACCATGGTCTTGAGCCGGAAAAGGGTAGAGTGCTTTCTCTGGGTCGGGGAGGATGTACTGCCCCTAGTGGAGGAGTTTAAGTATCTTGGGGTCTTGTTCACGAACGAGGGGAAGATGGAGCGGGAGATCGCTAGGCGGATTGGTGCAGCGTCTGCTGTGAAGCGGGCCCTGTACCGATCTTTTGTGATGAAGAGAGAGCTGAGCCAAAAAGTAAAGCTCTCGATTTACCGGTCGATCTACGTTCCTACCCTCATCTATGGTCGTGAGCTTTGGGTCACGACTGAAAGGACGACATCCGGGATACAAGCGGCTGAAATTAGTTTTCTCTCCGTAGTGTGTCTGGGCTCTCCCTTAGAGATAGGGTGAGGAGCTCAGTCATCCAGGGAGGTCTCAGAGTAGAGCCGCTGCTCCTCCTCATCGAGAGGAGCCAGTTGAGGTGGCTCAGGCATCTGGTTAGGATGCCTCCTGGACGTCTCCCTGGTGAGGTGTTCCAGGCATGTCCCACCGGGAGGAGGCCCCGGGGGAGACCCAAGACACGCTGGAGGGACTATGTTTCTCGGCTGGCCTGGAAGCACCTTGGGATTCCCCCGGAGGAGCTGGCCCAAGTGGCTGAGGAGAGGGTCGTCTGGGCCTGCTACCCTCGCGACCCGACATTAAAGGTAATAAATTATTGGATAATAAATAATAAAGAAATTAAAGATATATACTCCTTTTTGTGTGTTCATTAGTTTTTTTATAAGACTGGCAAGCTGATGTGAAATGTTGTTCTCTCACAGGACTCAGTCAAAGTCAGCTATAATTAGACCAATTTTCAGCTATCGTGTGTTGAGTTAGAAGACAATATTTTGACCTCTTTATTCCTGCACCTAAAAATCAGTATGATCACTTAAACTAATGAAAACTAAACTAAATATTATACGATTATAGTAACTATGTCTATTATATAAAAGTAATCTGGAAAAAAAATGTTAGTAGAGAGAAATATAGGGCTGCAACAACGAATTGATAAAATCGATAAAAATCGACTTTTAAAAGCGTTGGCAACGAATTTCATCATCGATTAGTTGTGTCGCACGATTAATGCGTCATCCGCCGCCGCCGTCATCACATCCACTTGACTGAAACGGGGGAAGAAAAAAAAATATGACAGAGCGAGCCAGCGCCGCAGGTGCAGTGTTGCCAACTCAGCGACTTTTCGGACCCCTCCAGCGACTATTTTTAAAAAAAGCGACTAGCGACAAATCTGGCGACTTTTTACGGTGTCACTGGCGGCTTTTGGAGACTCTTACGTGAAAGCATGTATCGTTCCTTCGCTGCCGTGGGGCGCCTCCCCCATCCCAACCCCGTTCTCCCGCTCCAGCAGGAGTCCCTCTCAGCGCTGCAGTCAGAGCCGCAGGATGTTTACCCTCAGCGTCCAGACTGCAAATGAAGCTCGCATGCGCCGGGATCGAAGGCGCAAATTGATCACAATAATTAAAATAGCCTGCGCTTTGTAAAGTTAAAAAAGTCGTAACATGCAACTTTTGTAAAAACAAATTAAAATGGCACTGAACCACCATGTTTGGTTCGTTTTAAAGTGGGGAAACGTAACGTTAGTTTCTCAGGTAGCTCATCTGATGCTTTCCTTACCGTGTTAGTAGGTTACAGACAGTGATAAGGATGGCTACTTATTTTACTTTTAATTTCATTTGAATTAGCTTAAGCAGCGTTTATATTTTCTTTATAAATAAATTAACTTGCAAATTATGAAGGCAAGGCTTTTAAAGTTTAAATCTTCTGGCAAAGATAAAGAAAAGAAGATCCTGCAATTTATGGAAGTAAAGCAGAATAAAATCCAGCAAGATCAGTAATATGTCAATTAATTATATGCCACATTACCATGTAAATATCTGTCTTTGGAGGTTGTGTTTTTTAACACCCCTAGTTCTCTCATTTTTATTCAAAATACAATTTATAATTTGAATCACAGGGCTATTTTTATCTCTATGGTTCAGTATTTTCTTAAGTAGCAACTTTAACTGCTATACTTTCCTGTCTTAAAAGGCAGAACTCTTCTAGTCTAAACAAATGAATTTGTTGAAATGGGGGGCCTATTGTTTGAACCCCTTAGGGGCTTTTAAAAACAAAAATGCCTGTCTTTTTTTGCACTTTATGAAACAAAGTACCCTATATTTTGTGGATATACAGCTACATTTCTTATGTAAGTTTGCGTAGTTTTAACACAAACATTTATTTTTCATATTGCACCAGTACAGTTAATGAGCAACCTGTACTTGTGTGCTTGTTTGTTCTGTCTAAAATGTTTATTTAGGAATAAAGAGGTTAATATAAAAAATATTTGATTAATAGAAAAAATAATCGTCCAATTAATCGATTTTTAAAATAATCGTTAGTTGCAGCCCTAGAGAAATAAGTTCCCTGTTCTGTTTGATGTGGCTCTAATGAAAACCTGGATCAAAGGGATCCTACTTATTTGGACCTGGATTTAAATTCAAAGTTGTTAAATAAACATTTTTACCAGATCTGCGTTCTCAATGCTGGAGGCACTCAGGTCATCTTCCCCTACTATGTACATCACAGGACAATCGAGCTTCTCCAACTGCAAAGGCAGAAGAAAAACAAAACATCAATTTAAAGGAAAAACACAAAAACAAATGATTGAGATTGATGTTACTATATACAGGTACATGTCAAATTATTGGAATATTGCCTTAAACATAAGATATCTTTTTGCAAGTCCTTTAAGATAACAATGTGGATATTTAAAAGAGATTAATAACACTTCATTGTTTTAATTATTTCAAGCTTTTATTTGCTGCAGTTCCTGTTGTGGACTTGCCGCCATAATCCCTGTAGAAAGTCTATGGGCTTTAGTCAAGAGAAAGACCAGAGACGACAGACACAAGAAGGCAGATGACCTGAGGAATGAGCCTTGATGTAAACCACCCGTGATTCAAAGCACCAACGACCACATGTTCTTCTTTGACCGATACCGAGTCAATAAACATTCTCGCCTCCCTCCAGAGTGGTTCCATTACCTGAACAATGCTGTCAGGAGGAAGATTAGCAGGCAAGGAGACTTCTTTGAAAATGACCCGGCCCTCGTCATCAAAGTTCCAATAGTTCTGGAAACTAAAAACAAACAAACAAACAAAAAAAAAAAAGGTCAAACCAGCAGTTAAAACAGATTTTTTTTTTTTTTTACTTATCTGTAATTTACAACCAAAGTGTTTTTGTTCCAGTTAAATGTGGTCAGTTGAAACAATCCAAACATCATCAGGCGCAAAAAAATGAACAAACTCAATTTGATTAAACCTGTACTATAAACTGACTGATTATATACGAACAAGGTTTATACAGGAATAAGGAACTCTAATTTAATACTTTGTAATGCTCTTTTAAAGCTCTTAGAAATAATTTAAATGCCATCAACAAGTACCCATGACTCTCATATGTATATATGTGTATATATATAAAAACACGGCAAAAATCCTTCGTCATCTTTACTGTCAAAAGGATGCATCCATGTTCCAAATTCCTTGTTTTCCAACCAGATGGGGAAAAAAAAATAGTCCCATTCTGTAGCTTTTTCTTTGCCTTGATCTTCTTTTTCGAACATACGGCTTTACGATCAACTGGAAGCAGTTCTGCAGCAAACACGCAGAACCATTTATATCTCATATAATATATCTGACAAGATTGTTTTTATTGTTTTAACATTTTTTATTTTTATTAAAGCATTTAAATGCCACGATAGTCACATTTAATGAATTTTAATGACTTTTAATTTGAAAAATAATAATTTAATGACTTTTACTGATTTTTAATGACCCGCGGAAACCCTGACGAGTTAAGGTTTTCTAACTCTTAGTGACCTGTCTTGTTAAGTTACAACTGTATACAATATTTAACACCAATATCAGTCATTGGAAGTGAGTACATCTGGACAGTAGGTGGAGCTACTGAGTAATACAGTAGATTTCCTGATAACAGTGGAAGGTTGCTACTATTATGCTGCTATAGGCTTAGACTACTGGAGGACATGGGGACCCCTTTTTCACCCTTCTGCTTTATTCTATCTCTATTCTCCCATTCTGCAGTATTTTTTAGTTCAATCTCTAACGTTCTGCTCTCTCTGCTTTTCCTCATAGTAGCTTCATCTGTTCTGTTCCTGCTTGTCTGTGACTCCATCCTGGAGAGAAATATCAGCTGTGCTGCTGCCATCAACACCTTTGTTTATAGATGTTGGAGCTTGGCCTGTTTTTCAGTGTAGTCCTGTTTCTCTGACTGTGACTAACTGTATGACGTACTGTATGACTTGACCACATGTGGAGCTGGTAAAACACTTGCCTTTTGTATCTCTGCTTCTTTTTCTATGTCAGCTTCTGTCTACCTGAACCCAGATGGCCACTCACACCTAGTCTGGTTCTGCTGGAGGTTCTTCCTGTTAAAAGGGAGTTTTCCTCCTCACTGTTGCTACAAGCATGTCTGATGTGAGGGATTGCTGAAGAATCAAAGAGTCGATGCAATCAACTTGTTTTCCTCAGATAGAAAACTTCAAACCAATCTGACTGTATGATCTGGTTAAATTGTCTCTGTAAAGTGACTTGAGATTATGTGTTTGGCGCTATATAAATAAACTGAATTGAATTGTTATAATGCATTGACTGAAAGAAGCTGGATCTAAATGCACTCCCCACTTCTCAGATGTATTTTCTTCTACTTCAACCACTGCTCACAACTTTTTATTAAACTGCCACATAACGATTGTATAAAATACATGATAAAAGTTTACCTGCTATTTGGGATAACATTAAATTAAAGGATGTTATAAACAGGCATATAAACAGTATAGATTAGTAGAAAAGAGATCAGAAGGATCAAATACAGCATTTTTTTATTGTCCCTTGAAGAGAAGATATGCAACTTATTTCAAGTTGTCTTTTTTTCTAAAACAGTTCATCATTATCAACTAAATGATTATTTACCTATCGAAGTGCTCAGTCATGCCGTCTGAATCTGTGACCGACCACGTGCTCCCCACAGGTCCATTGATACAAACCAAACAAGATGGCTACAGGGAGACACAAAACCACAGCAATATGATCAATTTAAAGATTTCCCATCACTGGGAGGCAGAATCAGTATTCTAGATGACAAAGTGGGTTTAAAATAGGCATGAGCTTTGAGACCAACCTTTACTCCTGGTATGGTAGCGATGCGAAGCGCCAAGTAACTACCGAAGGAGAGGCCGATAATCCCGACTCTGTCAGAGACCACCTGAGGGTGATCTTGGAGCAGTTGGAAGGCGGCCTGTCAGATGATGATGGAAGGGGTTACATGTGTAAATAAAACACTTTCCACTTCGATCGGGATAACTACAGATTCATCTTTTATTACTGAAGGAAAATCATTTTAAAAATAGTGGATCATTCTGTAGGGCTGAGGACGGGAAAGCCAAGGTTTAGAAATTATTATCTCCACTAACAATTCCAAAAAATTTATTGAAAGCAAAAAAAAAAAGGACTGTATTTATTATACTACACACTGATACAGAAATAGAGAGTGATCCTTTTGGAGCAAGGTAACTATTAATAAAAATAAATGGATATCTAACCTGCTAAAAGAAAGAGAAATAAAAGTTCAATTTGTGTTTGTTCCTTGTTGCAAACTCATACATACATATGTCATCAGATCTTTCGTGTGTTAAAATGTAAAATGTCAAAACTAAACTTTGCAAAAAGACTAGTGTATATAATTTATGTATGAATACAAATCAAAAACTTCTAAGTGAAGACAACAAATATGAGTGAAAATCCCAAATTCCCAATTAAAGAAATCACATTTCTTGATAGAAATCACAAATTTAAGAGTAAGAGTTTAAAATTTACATTTAAAGGAATAGTACACCCAAAACATGATTAGCCTTCATTTTCTACTCACCCCCATGCTGAACAACACTCTGGAGTACTTTTTTGATATCTCAAATGCAGCTGGAGATCTGGGAGGCTTGCTGTCTGCTGACATTCAAATAATGGAGGTCTATGGCGCCCGAGGCAGAAAGGTCCATAAAAGTCCACAAAAAACGTGTCAATATTCCTCCATACTGCTCGTCCAATGTATTCCAAGTGTCCTGAGTGGGTAGCGTCCAGAATTTACTCGAAACTAAGTCATTTAGAATGTTTTTAGAGCATAAACAGTAGTGTATAGGATTTCCTAAAAGCGCGTTCACGACGCTACGGAAACCGCGGCAGACCAAACCAGCGCATTCAGCTCGGCAAAGAACTCATGCTCTTCCTCAACACTGAAGTCCTCAGACATTTTTCTTTCATTGTTTCTTTCTTTGCACAGGTAAACAGCACATTTCTTCTTCTACGCTTGCATTATCAGCAGAGCAGACGCTGAATGCGCACTTTCATCTGGTTTGGTCTGCCGCGGTTTCTGTAGACTCGTGAACGCGCTTTCAGGAAATCCTATACACTACTGTTTATGCTCTAAAAACTATCTAAATGACTTCGTTTCGAGTAAATTATGGACGCTACCCACTCAGGACACTTGGAATACATTGGACGAGCAGTATGGAGGAATATTGACACGTTTTTTGTGGACTTTTATGGACCTTTCTGCCTCGGGCGCCATAGACCTCCATTATTTGAATGTCAGCAGACAGCAAGAAGCCTCCCAGATCTCCAGATGCATTTGAGATATCAAAAAAGTACTCCAGAGTGTTGTTCAGCATGGGGGTGAGTAGAAAATTAAGGCTAATCATGTTTTGGGTGTACTATTCCTTTAAGAGGCACAAATTTAAGAGTGAAAATTACAAATTTCTGAGTACAATCACAAATTTATGTGTAAAAAGCTACAAGCCAACAATCTTCATCAGAGTTGTAGATTTGTGCTAAAAAAAATAGTGATTCATCCTTGTCTATTTTTCAAAGTTGGAACATTTTAACTTGTATTTGTAACTTAGAAACATATTCTAATATATGAAAGATCTGATAACAAATTTATGTATGAGTTGACAACAAGAAACCAATACAAATCTTAGATTTAATAGTATACCGACTTAGATTTATAAATGTTTCTATCTTGGTGACTGTAGGACAGGGTCACTTCCTACAATTCGAAATGTATGCTAAGGCTAGAAACTATTGGTAATAGGAAGCTAATCATCCACCTTATAAACACATATTTAATCAAGGCCAAATAATGCAAACCCAGTTGTGGTCACTGCCAGTAAGGGATGCTGTCAAGCTGATGAAGGAGGCTTATAGAGGAAGTCCTAGGGCAACAAGGGGGTATAGTGAGGCCAAGCGTGCTACTCCCAAGAAGGTTACAAAGGTAAAACTCTGTCCTGGACAAAGACTATCAGTCGGCTTCAAAGCAATTCTGGCAAAACCTCTGGCGTCTCTGGAGGGGTAAGCAGGGCTCCTCGGAAGGTGGAAGAAGTACTTTGAGAATCCCCTCAACCCGGCCGACGCATCTTCAGTAGTGGAAGAAGGGACGGATTCACCCATCGCCCAGGCTAAGGTCAGTAATTTGGTCAAAAAACTGCATGGTGGCAAGGCTTCAGGTGTAGATGTCATCCACCCTTATACCCTAGGTCTCTGGGTGTTGTTGGCTGCCATGGCTAACACACCTCTACAATATCGCTAGCAAGAAAATACCCCTGAACTGGCAGGTTAGGTTGGTGGTTCCTCGGTATAAGTAGGGGGACCGGAGGATGTGTTCAACCTATAGGGGGAATCACACCTCAGCCTCCCCGGTAAGGCCTATGACAGGGTTCTGGATAGGAGAGTCTTTCTGACTGTAGAAACTGCAGGATACTGTAGGGTAGGAGTTAGCCCAACTCCCACGTGTGTTTTGTGGACCTGGAGAAGGCATTAAACCATTTCCCTCGTCATGCCCTGTGTTAGAGCCAATGAGTAGCCCCTCCCCTTTACTCTGGGCCATCAAGTCTCTTTACAAGTGGAGCGGAAGTCGGTCCGTCCATCTATCCATCCATCCATAGGACAAACAACCATTCACACACACACTCACACCTAAGGAGAATTTAAAGAAGCCAATTTACCTAACAGTAATGTTATTGGACTGTGGGAGGAGGCCGGAATACCCGGAGAGAACCCACACATGTTCAGGGAGAACATGCAAACTCCATGCAGAAAGACCCCGGGCCAGGAATTGAACCCTGAACCTTCTTCCTGCAAGGCAGCAGTGTTAACCACTGGGCAGAAGTATGTCATCATATTCCAGGTCCATGATTGACTCCAACAGGGCTTCACTGTTTATAACCTTTATGTACAGTACTTCTAGGCAAAGGAAAGGGCCGGAGGGGTCTGGATTAAGGGAAATGTGGATTTCATCTCTGCTTATTGCAGAGGTTCAATGTGGTTCTGCTGGATGTGAATGTCAATAAAGTCAAGAACTTATGCCCCTAAAGATGAACCTTCATAAAAGGGGAAAGAACTGATAACCTTAAGTTCCCACCCAAAAAACAAAAATTTTTAAAGGCACTGGAAGACTGATAAACACGGCTGGGAGAGGATTCAGAATGCGTAGCATTAGCCTGCCTTAAAATATGAATCCCCGACGGTGAAACGATCTGGTGGACCAGGTAGATCCTTGTGTCCAAAGTATGCGAGAGAAAGGCTAACGTAGCCTTTAGATGCAAGGAGAGAGGAGCGGTATTCTAGTAGTCCTCCACCCATTCCCCATAGATCCAGAAGGGCTGGAAATGGGCCTGGGCCTGCAGGAAAACCAGCAAAGGTGGGCTATTCACGGCTCAACAGGTGTAAAATCACAGCACTAATGGATAATAGACTCACCAGGGGGAACCAACAATGTCCCTACGATTCCATTTTGACGAATGTCTATTCTCTTCACCTCTGGAGCGACATACCACCGCTCGGTGCTTACAGCTGCCAGCTCATTGAGCTGCCCTCGACTGGGTGAGACGTGGCCCTCCAGCAGGGAGATCCGCACCGTAAACGGTGCCTCCACATTTTTCTTCCTCAGTCTTAAAAAAAAAGAGACAATTCTAGTCAGAAAATAAACACTTTCTGCAGGCGTCACAAAGCATCAGTAATGTATTCCCTGTAAATGGGAATAAAACATCCTGCGGTCAGCTTGTCTAACACAGGAGTAATGAATACAGAGTCACATGGACTTTTGCTTTAAAACTAATTTCCTCTCACTGTATACCTGAACAGAAGAAATAGAATTCAATTTAATTCAGTTTATTCGCATAGCGCCAATTCCAAACACCTCATCTCACTCTACAGAGACAGTTCAACGAGATCATACTGTCAGATAGGGGTGGAACGGTTCACAAAATCCACGGTTCGGTTCGGTTCACGGTTTAGTGGTCACGGTTATTGGTTCGGTATATGTTTATTGTTACACCGAAAAAAATAAATAAAATAAAAATTATAAAATGAATGAATTTTTTTAAATGAAATTAATGAAAAAATCCAAAAATATGAATGAATTGTAATTATTTTTAATGATTCGCGGAAACCAAGGATCATTTCCGCACATTTTGCTGCTTTGAATTTAATCATCTCGGGCATGCCCTCTACGATCTCCAAGGAACTCAGAGCGGAGCGAACGGGAGCCACAGTGGAGGCTGTAGGCTTTGCTTTGTGCAGCCTGTCTGGAGCGCAGCGGGGCGGAGCGCTGACGGAGTATGTGGGATTTCGGGGTTAGCATGACATGTTGGTCATGTTGCTGTTAGCATAAACAAAATGTGTTGCACAATGCTTGCACACTGTTGCACTTTTATCCACAACTTTCTTTCCGCCGTCATCGTAGGTCACTCTAAATGCAAAGTGGTCCCATACAGCAGACCTATAAAGTGCTGCTGGCACGTCTTCCAACTCCTGTTCTTTCCCACCCGCCATACCCACACAATTCTCCACAACAACTGATTTTTTTCTGCTACACCCGTCTACGCTGCTTATCTTCTTCTTCTTCTACCGCCACCTTCTGCTCTGGAGTGTAAACGCTTCGCCTATGAGAATAAGGAGCAGCGCATGAACCGAACGCAACACACGCGAACCGAACCGAGACAGTCGAACCGAACGGTTCGGGCGGTTTTTATAAACCGTTCCATCCCTAATATATATATATATATATATATATATATATATATATATATATATATATATGCGTGTGTATGTGTATTTTCAAGCCATGCCAGGGGGGTGTGGGGGCATGGGATCAGAGATTGCATGAATGATTGAAGACTAAATTTGACTTTTGAAAATCCAATACCAAAAATGACCAGAAGATGGCAACAGTGCATCTATATCTACCACTTGCATGTACCGCATTTCTTTTGATATCCAGTTTTGCAGCTAAGTGTTACTGGAGCACAGGGTGCAGAAGCAAGCGCCTGGTTGACCTAACTTTCTGCACCAGCTGCTAAATGGCTTGCCATCTCGCCCCGTCTCCTCCAGCTATGCCCAGCGCTATTTCTTTTTGGGACCTTTATCTATGGTCATGACATCTTCCCCAGAGTTCATGAACTGCATTAGGCCCACTCCATGCAATTCTGTTTCCTCTATCGTCCTTCTCTCCAAACACAAAATTTAATTTATTTATTTTTTGACTTTTGAATGGAGCTGTAAATGGCGCAAGGTGACTTTCTGTGTAGATCTTCAGCACTGAACCACAATCTATCTGGTGATTTGAGCGCGAAACAAGAGGAGCAGGTACGCGCTTTCATAAGACCCGCCCCTTTCTTCTCCTGATTGGCTAATACTGTTAGTTTCAGAGTGCTCCTTTGCTATCATTGGCTGACAAATGTAAGAGGGATATACATATGACTTTATATTTACAGTTCAAACATTATTATTATTATTTTTTATAAATAAAATAACCAATTTTACACAACATTCATCAGTCTAATGGCAGTGGGGAAGAAACTGTTATGGAATCTGCTGGACCTGCATTGGATGCGTTGAAGTCTCTTCCCAGAGGGCAGCAGGGAGAACAGTCCAGACTGATAGGTTACGTGGCTTCTCTAAATTCTCCTTAGGTGTGAGTGTGTGCATGAATGGTTGTTTGTCCTGTTTGTCTCTGTGTTGCCCTGCCTCTTGCCCGTACACAGCTGGAGAGGCACCAGTACCCCTCACGACCCCGCCTTGGGATAAGCGTGACGAAAAATGGATGGCACTGTATGTTAACGTTTTATAATATTTTTTTCTCTGCACATTATGAGACACATGATTTAAGTTAATGCCACAGACTTCCCTCTGCAGATGTTCTCAGCGAGCTTGTTTTTACCACGTGCCTCAAACCTTCTCTTCCTCCAGGAGCAGGCTGCATGCTCCAGAAGAGTCCCATCGGCTGACAGCCCACATAGGAGCCTCCGACAGAAGGATCGCTGGTTACTGCCAAGGACACAAGAAGGATGAGGACGAAGAAACTAAATGACAGATGAATCCAACTTAGTTGTATTTATTCTTGTAAAAGCACTCTTATGTTTTCTTTATCTACCAATAGAAATCATTACATATCCACTCATTTTTCATAACACTGATTATTTTTTACTCACAGCAAAAAACTCCACTCTCGTTTGCATTATAATGAGCGAATGACTCCCATAGGTCTCCCTCATCGCTGTGCATTCTTGCACACAGGGTGACGGGACAGCGTGGGGGAAGCAGGTGTCCTCTAATGCTGACCGGCTCGTCAACAAGGCTGCGGAGAGGAGCTGCCGTCAATACAGGAGCTGGTCTGGTGTTACTCTTCCACCGAACTGCCCCTGCAGGGAAAAACCAACCAGAGAATCAGAACTTTGGAAATGCACCACAGGAAACCTTTAAAGAATGAAGTTTAGAAAGAAAAACTATCCTATACTGTCAAACAAATGATCTGTTTAAATGTTAAGGTCTTAATTCATTCATTTATAATAGATTTTGTGACACTACTAAGCTTTTTTTCACAGAGATCTGGAAGGAAATTGGTAAAAAAAAAAAAAGGGCATCATGCAATAAAGGAAACCTTTCACTTTACTGGGCTGCATCGCTGGAAGGATAGAGACCAAAGCTAGGCTTATACATCGGCTATATTAATGACCGATTGCAGAGTTTCTTTCTTGTACGGATATGTGTTTAGAGTTTTGTTCTATTATTGTTGCAAGAAGGTATGTCCTAATACAACTTTTTTTCCCCTTCGGATACAATACTGTTACTGCAGCTTAGTGAACAGACCAATGCCAATATTTACTCGATATGATATCAGCAGGAATCATAGCAGCTTTATTACTTAATTTGTATTGTAGAAAGTAAGAAAAGCTTTGATCAACTGATATTACTAAAACAGAAAACCATAGTCAACAACAAAAGATATTAGAACAACTGACTCATGTAAGATGATATTGTAAGGGATGAGTTATAGAAATTGTAAGTGATGAGTTATAGAAACTTTGGATGCAGAGAGTTTCTATCAGCCTGAGAGTATCACTGGTTTAAGACACAGGACCAGATTTTGTCCCAATGATCAGAACTAACAAGGTGAGGCTTTATTTTAGGGATGGGACGATTTATGAAAACCGTCAGAATCGTTCGGTTCGACTGTAGGCCCATTCATACCTCACGTAAAAGACGGATACGGATACGTGTGGAGTGTTTCATACGTTCTAATCGTCGATTTCGTCCGTACTTTGACACGAAAATTGGGAGCTTACGCTTACGGACAAACGGATCAATACGGAGCAATACTACCGGAAACGGTGGGGGCGCTATTGAGTTTTTAGTACAAAATGTCAACAGAATCAGGTCTTGGACCATCGCCATGTTTTGATCAATGACGAATCATTGGCGCCCAGCACTGCCACCTAGAGGAAATACGGGTTATTGCGCACCTCAACGGACGGAGGTATGAAGGAGTCAACGGATAGAACGTACGGACAGAAATACGGACGTGCAGGCCAAACGTGAGGTATGAATGGGCCTTGTCTCGGTTCGGTTCGCGTGTGTTGTGTTCGGTTCATGCGCTGCTCCTTTTTCTCATAGAGGAAGCGATTACACTCCAGAGCAGAAGGTGGTGGTACTGCGACCAAAGCCAACCACCAGTAGTAAACAAGAAGAAGAAGAAGCGAAGCAGCTTAGCCAGGTGTAGCAGGGAAAAAAGTCAGTTGTTGTGGAGAATTGTGTGGGTATGGCGAGTGGGAAAGAACAGGAGTTGGAAGACGCGCCAGCAGCACTTTATAGGTCTGCTGTATGGGAGCGCTTTGCATTTAGAGTGACCTACGATGACGGCGGAAAGAAAGTTATGGATAAAAGTGCAACAATGTGTGAGCATTGTGCACCACGTTTTGTTTATGCTAACAGCAACACGACCAACATGTCATGCTAACCCCGAAATCCCTCATACTCTGTCAGCAACCCCCGCTACGCTCCAGACCGGCTGCTCAAAGCAAAGCCTACAGCCTCCACTGTGGCTCCCGTTTGCTCCCCTCTGAGTCCCTTGGAGATGGTAGAGAGCATGCCCGAGATGATTAAATTTAAAGCAGCAAAACATACGGAAATGATCCAGGGTTTCCGCGGATCTTTTAAAATAATTAGAATCCATTATTTTTTTGGGGATTTTTTCATTAATTCCATCAATTTTTATGGGATTTCGGTGTAACAATCAACATGTATCAAACCGAACCGAAAACCATGACCAGAAACCGTGAATCGAACCGAACCGTGGATTTTGTGAACCGTTCCACCCCTACTTTATTTAGTTTATCTACTTGCAGAAAATCTTTCATTTTAATATGAAACCCTTTTGTTTCAACTTTTATTACAAGATGCTAAAAAAATAACCTGCCTTGCCCACAGACGGCAGTTTCCTGCAAACCATTCCTGCTTTAAGAGTCCTGGGAGTAAACGCAGCATTAGACAAGGGGCCGTCCAAGATTTGGATTCAATGAGAACTTTATTTAAAGTTTGATTTTTAAACCTGTGTGGTTTAAATCGTGGGTTGACCCTTGGACTGCCCACATGACCTGCAGCGCGAGGAGCACAAAATCAGATTTTCTTTTTAAACCATATTTTCAAAGGGGGGTTCGGTGGGCACTAAAATTAGAATTTAGGTATATGTGCATATCGTTAAACTATCAAACATCAAATAATATTGAGGTTAAAGTAGTTTTGAAGATAAATAGTAAAACAAAAAATGTCACATTTTTAATTACCTGAAATACAAAACATTAGATGATTAAAAGGAATAACGAAAAATAATAGATATTAATATTGGAGATCATCCGTCCCTCTTCTCCCACTTATTTCGCCAGGGTCGTGTTAAGGCTAGTGCCTATGGGCGAGAGGCGAGAGACACACAAAAAATACAATCATACACACACACACATTCACACCTAAGGATAATTTGGGGCAGCTCAAACTGCTCAAATTGCCAATTTTTTCTTTTTATTTTTTGACAGCCTCTCATTGCAAAGCAAAAATGCAGGCAATCCTTCCGCATTGATATTGAAGGCAAATGATTCGGTTCATTCTTTGAATTCTCTTTTCTCATCAGCCATCTTCCTTTTTTCAATTTGGAATCCATTGTCTGAGACACACCTGCAGCTTCGTTTGCCTGGCTGCACGCCACGCTGGTTGCAAGTTATGACCACTGATCTCTATGGCCATGACGCAAATTGTTGTTTAAAGTTATTTATTATACAAATGTGTACAGCATTGGAAAACATAATTAAGTTTTGTTTGACCTCCTGCACACCATATTAAAACAAAACAAAAAATCGATTTTCATTAATTTTTGAAAAAACTCCAGGGAGCCGCAAAGGGGGAGCTAAAGAGACTCATGCGGCTCCCCCCTCACCCCCGGCCTAGTTGTTACATCAGTGAAAACCTGAGAAGGTGGCAGGTACCCAGCTTGATACCCACGATCTGAGCAAAACCTTAACCCCTGATTGCTACCCGGGCGCCACACAATGACAGACCATTGCTCCCCAAGGGGATGGGTTAAATGCAGAGTGTGAAATTCCCGTTTTGGATGATCCTCCCACCACCACATTGTGTTAGTATTTTCTTTTCTTGCTTTATATTATATTACAATTTATGTTTAAGTTGGTTATTTTAGACAGGTATTTTCTAATGGGTGCACACTTTAATTAATGTCTGTCTGAATGGTTTATTTACACTTGTTCTTTTGTTTGAGGTGCTGCTGATACAAATCAGCTGGAGAAGGAAATCTGGAGCGTGTCATCTTTGAAAGACTGACGGGGGAGACTTGTTTCAAGAAGTTTTCAATTAGTTTGTCACTTAAATACTCACTTATTGTTTCTGTTAAGTAAGTTAGTTTTGCTTTATTTGTTTCATAGAATGGTTAATTTTGTATTTATTGGTTCTTTTGTTATGTTGTGCCTCCCTCATTTTGTCGACTTGGGTTACTCCATCCCTTTTTAAGCAGCCTTTAGTTCTTTGTTTGCAGGTCAGTTATTTTGTTTTAGTTGGATCCCCAGTTGACCTCAGTTAAGTTGGGCCCAGATTCTGTATTTAAGTTATTTTGTATTGCTTTTGAGCCTTTGTTAACAATTTTTACTAGTGATGGTGAGATGAAGCCTCATGAGGCATTGAACCGTTTGGCCAAATTGCTTCAACGATCCCCACAGTTCATGAGGCTTCATGTGAACATGTCACCACCTACTGGTGGACAGCAGAACTACAGTTTGTAATAAAGTCTGTGATTTTTTTTTTTTGCAATTGTTTTTCTTTTTTTTCCCCTTTTAAGTTCCCTTGAAATTGTTAATGGCTGGTGTGTATAATAAAATTTTTATATATTTTTTTTAAGTGTAAAATTTCTTAGAACAATCATTTAAGGTGCACGGTTTTTCTGCCATTTTAGTGAAATAAACTCAAGCAGACAGTGAAAGTGTTTGTGCAAATTGGGCAATGATGAACAAAATGAAAGGTGTTAGTCATTTTTATTCAAACATGATAGTTTTTCCATGTTTTTTGGTTTTAATCAGGTTGGAAGTTGTGTTCAACCAATCTTTTTACTAAACCGACCTAATTTTCCCAATCTATATTTTTACTCGGGCAAAACAATGCAAATTAGTCTCATCAGCCAAAAGAATTAAGTTTAATCGCAACTTTCAAAAGAGACAGACTGGTTTTGAACCATCAACCTCTAGCGTGAGAGTCTGTCCGTTACAGAGGACGCCACTCATATAGATGGTCTGTCGTGGGAGAAAATACTTCTTAACGCTGACAGATTAACACTGGCTTTGTCTGGTGGTTTTACTCAAATTTTGATCATTATATTGTTTATTCAAACCAAATTAGCTTAAAGCAACTACATTGGTTGGAAAAACAACCAATCTATTATTAGGATCTATCCAAACTTTATCCAGCTGACAGCATCTCTCCTCCAATCTTCCACATCTTGACTGAACACTGAAGCTGTGTAAATGCCTGTCAAAATTCTTGCGCTTCCCGAACCACTTACCGAACCGGTCACGTGGTATCACGGTAGCGAGGCCTCGGACGTCATCCATTTTGGCACCTCCTCTAAATGAATCACGCCTCGACACGCGCTTCGAGGAAACGCCCCCTCCATTACTCGACACACGCCTCGAAGCCTCGGCTCATCTCATAACATCACTAATTTTTACACAATTAAATGAAAGCACTTTTTCAGATTTTGAACACCTTTTGTCCTTATTTAAGTTTGGTCCCTCACATCCCCAAAAGGGGTTTACAATATACAGAAGCCAATTAACATAACAGTCATGTTTTTGGACTATGGGAGGAAGCTGCAGTACCCGGAGAAAACCCATGCGTCCACATGGAGAACATGCAAACTCCATGCAGAAACACCCCCGAGCCAGAAAATCGAACCTGGAATCTTTCGCAAGGCAGCAGTGCTACCCACTGCTCCACCATGCAGCTCATAATGGAGATCATTTAAATTTGAAATGAATATACATAGACTTTAAAAAAACCCTCTCCAAACCAAAACCTTACCTGTGTGACGCTGCAAACCTGCCAGTTCCCAGTCCACACGGAAGCCTGCTTTAAAGAGCTGCCTCATGGTTCTCACACTCACATGTGCCCTAAACATTATGCCGTCTCTGAATGGCCTGCTAAAAGAAATGACAAACAGTGGAATATTGGAAAAACCATCTGGCACCGTCTGCAGACAGTAAACATGTCAAACAGTAAACTGCACACATGAAGCTATGTTTACCTTAGTTACTCCAGAAATTAACCTTGGACCTTTGAGTTGTAGCATGACTCAGCATTAAATTGTGGTTTGAATGAAGAAAAACTACTAAACATTAACATTTATGCTAGATTTAAACTATGACTGTTTTTTTATATATATATATATATATATATATATATATATATATATATATATATATATATATATATATATATATATATATATCATTGTTGCTCTTTTTTTACCCTTTTATTTAACCAGTACTAACCATTGCACAGTGAAGGATTTCTATATAGTTTTACTGCAAAGCACTTTACAGTAACAAATTGTAAAAGTCATATATTTATACATTAAGGAGAAACACATCAGTTTCAGAATAATGACCATAGTGTGGAGAAAGGTGATATACACTGAGAAAGAATGCAAAAAGTAGTTACAGTCATCCCAGAATAGGGAACACTGTCCCTTTAAGAATGTTCTATCAGCCAGATGGGCTGACTGAGAAAACAATCCTAAAGTTTCAACATAAACTCCAATTTACAGCATAACTGTGAGCTTGCAGTCAAAATCTACACAATTTCCTCGTGGAGGAAAACTGGATCAAACTGGAAGTTCTTCTTCTTCTTCTTTTTTTTTTAATGGCGGTTGGCAAACAACTTATAGGTGCATTACCGCCACCTTCCAGAATGGAGTATGGATCAGACAAACTATTATATTCTCCCTAAAATAGCCGTTCTTCTTAGAAAATTAAAAATACTCCCAAAAACTACATCCCCAGATGACCTTTGAAACAATTCCCTTATATCTAGTTTACTTTTATTCCTGTCTAACTCTCTACACAACATCTCTCTTTCCTGAGTATATTTATTGCATTCTAAAAAAAACTATGTTGGATAATTTCTAATTTCCCACAAATACAACACCCTGTATTATGCTTATTCATTATTTTAAGAGACTTTCCAACTGCAATTATTAGCAATAGATTGAGAAACTAAAGTCAGATCAATAGCCGATTCCTTACCTCTTACCAAGTCTACCTGAGTACCTACCCCGTTATTTAAAACTACCAATTCTTTTTCTTCAATGTTCTCTTCTAAAATTCCTCCATTATAATCATCTTGATCTCCCCTTAAAGTGCTATGTGCATTGAAGTCCCCACACCAAACTATTTTCCCTCACCAGTGTTCTAATATTGTTTCAAATTTTATCTTTTCTATTTTAAAGATTCTATTAAGGATTGTAATAATTTACAATTTTAAGATTCCCTTCATTTGTCCAAATTTCTACTGCAATAAATTCTAAATCTGATATTATTTAGAGCTGAATGAATTTAACTTTTCCTTTTATAAATATGGCACATCCTCCTCCATTCCCACTTGTTCTATCTTTACGTAATATTGAGTAACCATGAATACTAAACTGTAATGATGGCTTGAGCCATGTTTCCTGAATGCATATTATATCTGTTTTTTTATTTAAATTTTTAATGAAGCCTTTAAATTCCTGACCATTTGCTAATAAACTGCGAGCGTCCCATTGTAATATTAGAGTTATGTAATGATTTGAGAGGCCTCATTTTCCAGAGATCCTTCCCCATGCCTGAGCTCATCATGAATTTTTTCCCAAGACAAGTTTTTGATACTAAAAAACTTTGTAGCTGCCTTAACTATAATTTTTATTTTTTCAGTTTTAGTTTTTGCTTGCTCTGAACAGTTTATGATGTATGCAAGAAAAGGAATCAACTTTTCTAATGTAACATTACACTGATTATTGTCTGCCATCCTTTTCCTTTCATAATTTATTTTCGGATCATTATCATTCTTTTTAACTTCTTTCACTGCTTCAGCGTAAGTAATTCTCTTTTCAGTTTTAACTTTCTGGATTTCAGCTGCTTCTTTCCTTACCACGCACCCTGCATACGCTGCACTATGATTTCCACCACAGTTACAGCATTTAACAGGATTATCTCCACACTCACCATAAGGATGTTCACCTCCACATCTACCACACCTCTGTTTCCCTTTGCAAACATTTGCAGTATGTCCATATCTTTGACATTTGTAACATCTTAGAGGAGGTGGTATATAAGCTCTTACATTGAAACTCATGTAGCCAATCATCACTTTATCAGGCAGAACTCTACCTTTGAAATCCAGAAGAACAGATGCACTGTCCATTTTCTCCCCATTCCTAAAAGCCTGTAAACGTTTGATGCCCATAATCTCTCCTCCTCTTATTGTTTTCTTTAGCTCCTCCAAGTTTTCTCCTACCGGAATCCCTGATATTACTCCTTTCACTCCTCTTTCCTCCCCAACTACCTTTCTTTCTATCACTTCCCTTTTACACACCATTTGTAATTTTAGGGCCTTGTTCTTTTGTTCTGCATTTTTACAAATGATAAGTAAGCTTCCATCCCTCAGGATTTTAGCTAACTCCACGTCTCCAACAAATTTCTTTAGTCCATTCGACAAGGTGATAGGACTTACTCCAATCATATCCTGTCCAGCCTTAAATTTCAATATGACTTTACAGTCTTCCATCATAATTTTCTTTCTTGTCTCAATTCGTTCTTCCTCATCCTCAAGAGATATTTTTCCAACATTTAATCCCTTTTTAATTTTATCTCTTCCCTCTCTTCTATTTCCTACCCTAGACCATCCTGTATCCATATTTTCATCTTCCGAACACCCCCCACTACAACCAGCCATTGTCTTGATCCACTCACAAACCAGATTATGCCAAAACCACCTTTAAATTCAACATATTACTCGCCAAACAATCTCTAGACCGCTGACTCTCCTCACATGCGGTCGGGGGCCGTCCGGATCACTCCCCTCGTGTCGCGTCCAAACTGGAAGTTTGTTCACTTTCCCCCTAAATAATCACATCTGCAATCAGTTTAAACGTTACCTTTTGTTGTTCTTCTTCTTGGTGTGTATCGGGGGCGCATTACCGCCACCACCTGGCTGGGAAGCGTAGCCCAACTTCAGGATTAAATCTTATCAGATAAATTATTTAGTACTATAATTTAATGCAGTTAAAGCTGTGAATCAGTTATCTACCAGCTTCCTTCTTGATGGTTTGTAGGAACATGCTGTCCCACCATCTCTACTGAACACACATTTACCTCTTCTCAGTGTTTTCCCTTTAATGAAAAGATTTCTGCTTCCCTCACTATGCTTTACATTGAGATATGAAATTATATATTCAGTATGATTTCTTTCTGTAAAGTTATTTTTTCTGCTGAATTATAAACAATGAAGGAATTAATGAATTAACTGATGAATGAATGGAATTTATTTAATAATAATAATTGAACTTTATTGATCTCATATTGGAGAAATTTACCTCTACATATAACCCATCCCCTTGGAGAGCAGTGGGCTGCCATTGTGGGGCGCCCGGGGAGCAGTGTGGAGTTAAGGGTCTTGCTCAGGGCCCCAGAGTGACAGTCTGTGGGAGTGAGGCTGAGACTCAGAACCTTAGGATTCCAAGCTCTATGCCCTAACCACTAGGCCACCACTCACCCATAACTTTTATTTGTTAATTCCAGAAAATTAACAAATAATACAAATGATGATAGATAAATCAATTTTCAAAAATATTTCGAACAACCTAACAACAATGTTTGTATTGTTATAACACTTTACATTACAGTACTTTATTTTTTATCTTTTAACTCTTCACTATTATGTTATTTTTATACATTTTGCTAAGGTCTATATTTGTGCAACATTTTTTGTATAATCTTTTTGCTGCTGTAAACATCAGAATTTCCCCATTGTGGGACAAAGGGATTTTCTATTCTATGTACCACAGCAATTGGTTAAAGGTTGAATAACAAAAAAAAATCCGTTCCAAATAAATGTAATTGATTTGAACAGAAATAGAAGCTAATAAAACAAACAAAATGTTCCTCTTAGTAAACTTGTCAGTGTACATAGGATAGTATACAAAGATATGACATTTGATCATGACTGAGTCCATGCAATCAACTGGTTTTCCTTTGATAGAAAACTTTGAATCAGTTTGACTGGATGATCTGGTGAACTGTAAAGTGCCTTGAGATGACATGTGTTGTGAATTGGTGCTATATAAATAAACTGAATTTAATTTAGTATTGATTATTGTCTTACGTAAATTGTCTGAAAAGGGGGATTTAAGGAGTTTGTGGGGGTTGTTTTTGTTCTCTTTCAGTATCTCCGTGCATCCACCAGACTGTCACCATCTCCTCGCCAGAGCTTTTGCCAGTATTGGGTACTCTAGCCCCTCTGAGTTTTGCTGCGTCAATACTTTGAGTTATGTTTTTTTTCTGAGACCTCAAGTTCTTACCCAGTTTTTCTCTTGTGAATCTTTGTCAGGATTTCTACAGATCCACTGGCTAAAGCTGGTCCTTCAAGCCCTGGAAGGAATCCTCTGGTCTCGCTGAGAAAGAAACTTCTCCCTGCAGACGATCTAACGCTCTGTTATCAAGTTTGGGGTTCACCATTAACTTCCACGTCTTTTATAAAACATTTTGGTCTGTTTAGACTAAAAAAAGTGAAAGAAAGCCATGAAAGTTAACTTCTAATGGTTCATAAAGGACAATAGAGACATGGGTATTTAATCTGCAAATAAGCAAAATTAGGCGTTACCTCGACCACTAGATGGCAGCAATGTGCTTCCCGTGTGAGGCTTGGCATTTCTACAACCCAGAGTATCTGTGTGTCTGTCCGTCATAAAGCAGTCTGTTACTCCTTCCCCAGGTGGAGAACTTCCTGGCCTCCAGAGAGCAGCAGGAGAAACCAGAACTGGACTAGAAGCGAAAAGTCATCTTCAGAGGCAGAAAGCCAGCTCTGGAAACAAAGCTCCACCTCCTGATGCGGCTATACTCTAAAGCAACGCTGCCCTCTGGTGTACAAGTCTGGAAATTGTACACAGTAGATCTGAGCAGAATGTCATCATAAGAATAGTTACATTTTGAAAACTTGTTTAAAACTGTAATATAGATAAAAAAAAAAATATATAAAATCCTTTAATCAGAGGGCATTTTTTCAGAATTTTATCTTTGTTTTTTTTTTGGTAATAGCACTAAATAGCACCTGATATCTTTTCACTTCCTTCCTATCTCTATAAGAACTTGTTGAATATTAGTTTCAAAAGTTTGTTGTGTGTTTCTAATGCTATTAAATATTTATTAGTCTTTCGACCCAAGTACACCTATCTTTTAATAACCAAAATAATCGTTACTAAGGATTCAGTCATTACAATTAGAGTGAATGAGGACAAAGATGTTAAATGTTTGAATGAAAATTTCAGAGATATGTAGGCACTTTGTTATTTACTTCTTTTGTAAACCATCTGAAATTAATCCACAAGTGACCATTAAAAGAGATTCCTTAATTTTCCAGAAAAAATGTCTTGTTTTTGAAAAGTGCTGCTTTTATTGTGTATCTTTTTTCACTCTGATCAATGATGTTGTAGCATTCTGAGTAGGCCTCCAAACGCTAAAGTATGTAGTGCAAATGATCAGGGCGGGACTGATTTGTTTTTGATCCGTCTGCTCATTTTGTATTCTATAGGATCTGATAAAAGTATATCTGACCGAAAGCTCAAAATTCAATTCAGTTTATTTATATAGGGCCAATTCCCAACACGTAATATCAAGGCACTTTACAATTCACCAGATCATACAATCAAATTGATTCAAAGTTTTCTATCCAAGGAAAACCAGTTGATTGCATCGACTCATTGACTTGAAGACAATCCTTCAGACTAAGGCCCCGTCCACACGAAGCCGAACCCTGGCCTAAACGCACAAATTTTTCACCAAACCAGCCTTTCATCCACACGAAGCTGGCGTTTCGGGGGTCTGTAAACGATCTTTTTTTTATTCAGCCTTCAGAGTGGGAAGATTTTGAAACACCGTTTTCGCGTTTCCATCTTTAAGCTCTAACCGCATTTTTTTTTTTACACAGTATCACAACAACAATGGCGCTGTACTGTGTTGAATGGTTGCTGCTCATGCTACTCACCCTGCTGTCGGGCTTACAACAGAATCTTCTTCTTCTGGAATATCTCCAGGAAGAACAGAGCAATATCAACGACATAGTTCAGCACCTGAATTTGACTTAACCACGAAAATGGACCCGCAGGGCAACTATGTATAAATATTAGTGCGCATGCCCAACATTTCGTCGCTTATTTTTGCTTTGGCACCACAGCGCCACTTACAGGCCTGGCATACATCTTGCAGCGTTTTCATGCATTCGTGTGGACGATCACATTTATTTTACGTCTCCATGTGTACGACAAACGTTTTGGAAAATATCAGCGTTTCGTGTTTGTTTTGACTTCGTGTGGACGGGGCCTAAGCATGCTTGTAGCAACAATTGAGAGGAAAAACTCCCTTTTAACAGGAAGAAACCACCAAGCAGAACTAGGCTCAGTGTGAGCGGCCATCTGCTGAGGCCAACTGGGGTTCAAGGAGACAGAAGCAGACATACAAAAAGTAACTGTAAAGGGGGCCCCGTCCAGGAAACACACAGCCAGGCAGAGGAGCTCTGAGCCAGCTCCCATGTCAAAGGATGAAGAGAGCACATCCAGCCAGTCACGGTCAGAGAAACAGGACCACACTGGAAAACAGGCCAATCTTCAACATCTATAAACAAATGTGTTGATGGCAGCAGCACAGCTGATATTTCTCTCCAGGATGGAGTCACAGCCAAACAAGAACAGACCAGATGAAGCTACTATGAGAAAAAGCAGAGAACAGAACGTTAGAGATTGAACTAACAGATTCTGCAGATTGGGAGAATAGAGATAGAATGAAGCAGAATTATGAAAAAGAGGTCCCTGTGTCCTCCAGCAGTCTAAGCCTATAGCAGCATAACTATAGAGATAGCTCAGGATAACCTCGGAAACTCTAACTATAAAGCTTTATCAAAAAGGAAAGTTTTTTTATTTTTTTATTTTTGTTTATTTATTTATAATAAAAAAAAGGAAAGTTTTAAGCCTACCCTTAAAAGTAGACAGGGTGTCTGCCTCACTCACTAAAACTGGTGGTTGTAATAAAAGTAGTAAAAGGTTGTGATAAAGTAAAATCTTAAAGGAATAGTACACCCAAAACATGATTAGCCTTCATTTTCTACTCACCCCCATGCTGAACAACCCTCTGGAGTACTTTTTTGATATCTCAAATGCATCTGGAGATCTGGGAGGCTTCTTGCTGTCTGCTGACATTCAAATAATGGAGGTCTATGGCGCCCGAGGCAGAAAGGTCCATAAAAGTCCACAAAAAACGTGTCAATATTCCTCCATACTGCTCGTCCAATGTATTCCAAGTGTCCTGAGTGGGTAGCATCCATAATTTACTTGAAACGAAGTCATTTAGAATGTTTTTAGAGCATAAACAGTAGTGTATAGGATTTCCTAAAAGCGCGTTCACGAGTCTACGGAAACCGCGGCAGACCAAACCAGATGAAAGTGGTCTAATAGAAAGCTTGGCAACTGGTTCATAGCCTTAATTAACTCAGGTGTGCTGTCCGTTGTGGTAACTCAGGCAGTAGACTCTGAGTATAACTTGGATAGTTATTAGAATAAAGCCAGGGAAAGATTTTAATTGATTTATCTTCTCTTAAGTCATTACAGTATTAGTGCAGATCTTGATTAATTATTTGTATTTCCTACATTCTGTATTTTAACATTGTTGTAAAAAAAAAAAAATAAAAAAAAAAACATTAAAAAATCGGCTTTGCAGAAGTTGGTACTTTCCACATACTTCAAAACCTGTAAGGTAGCATTTCAAATATTCCAATGGCTTGTGAAAAGTAACATCCCTCATAACTGGAATCCATAAAAAGTTTCTAGAAAATAACAGAATTCTCCAGGAAGTAAAATTGCAAAGTCAGGGCAGTTTGTTAAAACTTCCCAGTAATTGTGTTTGACTTGTGTACTTTACACTAGCCTGACGTAGTCCGACTCAATTCTAGTCAGAATATGAGTCTGATACTGCTCCATAGAGCTGTGATTATGGGGCGTGTTTTGAACGAACCAGGAAAAAAAATGCCTCTGTACTCAATTGGATAGACCTACAACCCATAAGAGCAACAGAGTGCGTGACGTATGTTAAGCGATGCATAAATCAAAGCATGCAGTTGCACGCCTAGAATAAGAAGATGAGACTTGATCGCGTTTCTCTGTTCCTCTTCTAAAATTAATTTGCTGTCGATATCTTCTAGAACAGACCTAATAGCAGAATCTACTCACCCAAACTCTCCAGCGGCAGCCATTATTGTTGTCACCCTAGCGCGCTTTGGTCACGTGGTTGATTACGTTACTGTTGATCAACTGTCCATCATCGTATAAAGCCCGCCCTGACAATTTGATTGGATCGCCTGACAGTGGGCTTTAATACTCGCGCTACTATGGAGCAGAGCCAGACCGAACTTCCCCGAACTCAAACCTTGTGGGCGGGACTAAGTTCGGACTGGCACCCAGGCTAACTTTACACTAGCAGCAAAGCAGCAATAGATCTGCATAGCAGACAGGTTCTGAGCCTGAATGAGCCGAAGAAAAACACATGAAACACATGAAGAACAGAAAGTTCAGTTGAATTGCTCCTATGGATTCAAAAGGTTCTATCCTTTATGTCCCAGTGCAACAATTGCTTACCTCCATATAGCTGCTGATACACTTTTTTAGGCAGACCTTTGAAGAAACCACTGCAGTAATGAATTCTTCTTACACTACTGTTTATGCTCTAAAAACATTCTAAATGACTTTGTTTCGAGTAAATTCTGGACGCTACCCACTCAGGACACTTGGAATACATTGGACGAGCAGTATGGAGGAATATTGACACGTTTTTTGTGGACTTTTATGGACCTTTCTGTCTCGGGCACCATAGACCTCCATTATTTGAATGTCAGCAGACAGCAAGATGCCTCCCAGATCTCCAGATGCATTTGAAATATCAAAAAAGTACTCCAGAGTGTTGTTCAGCATGGGGGTGAGTAGAAAATGAAGGCTAATCATTTTTTTGGGTGTACTATTCCTTTAAGACTAAGACTAAATCTAAGATGCCTGTCAAAAACAACACTGGACATACCTTGTGTTCCTTGCTTAGTTTTGGGTCCTTCTGTTAATGTTTAGCCCTCCTAAGTGTTATTGCTGGCCATTTCTTTGCATTTTTGACCACAATGCACAAAACTCCCTAGATGATGACATCTAACATCGATGTTTATCAAGCCACAGACCCTTGTTCTACAGTCTGAGTTTTCTGTGAATCTTTCTAGAAGCTGCAGAACAGGTTCAGGTTACTGAGGAAAAGTCATTGCGTAAGTCCTTTTATAGGTATGTATTATTCTACAGCAGAAATGCAGCCTGCGTGGCATAGAAAAGCTTTGATTTCTAGCGCCAGTTGATTGGATGGTAAAAGGCCTGCACTTTTAGCGCACTTTTTTTTTCAAGTCAGGAGACCTGACCAAAGCACTTTACAGTACATTTGATAATTCACCCATTCACACAAACCGATTGTGGCAAGCTACATTGTAAGCATTGCTGCACTGGGGCTCACTGATGGAAGAAAGGCCCTCTGACCACCATTAGTACACAATGCAGGTAAAATGTCTTGCCAAGCCTGGTTCTGCTGGAGGTTTCTTCCTGTTAAAAGGGAGTTTTTCCTCTCCACTGTCGCTACAAGCATGCTTAGTGTGGGGGATTGTATTTGAGTCAATGAGTCAATGCAATCAACTGGTTTTCCTTAGATAGAAAACTTTGTATCAATTTGACTGTATGATCTGGTTGAACTGTAAAGTGCCTTGAGATGACATGTGTTGTGAATTTGGCGCTATATAAATAAACTGAATTGAAATTGAA